CGCATATGACCCTAACGGATATCGTTTTTATCCGTTTGCTTTATCCTGCCGAGAAACCTCCCCAGTATATGATAATATGTAATGGCTCTCTATATAATGTACATTATGTATATCTACCTCTCATGTTTATGGTTATATTTATGTCCATGTGTAGATAGTTTGTACCCTGCCCCACGAGGGTGTCTGTACAATAAAAATTCGTGATTCTTGATTCATGCTGTGTACACAGACACGTTTTCGCCTAAATATTTAATTACATGATTTTTCACTCTCTGCAAGAGGGGCGGTGAGATAGTCTAGTTGGTTCCTTACGCCGAAGACCCAGGTTCGATACCCACATGGGTACAATGTGTAAAGCCGTTTTCTGGTGTTCCCCACCGTAATATTTCTGGAATATTGCTAAATGCGGCGTCAAACCATACTCAGTCACCCACTCTCTGAAAGAAAAGCAGATTGAAATATTGGCATCCGCCAACCAGATAAACATTTGATTTCATCCAGTGTACTGCACTGCGGCATTCGGGATACCACAAGCAATTGGACTCAGCATCCAAGAATCAAAAGAGGGTTGTCACCCTCCCTATGTTCCCCTAAACTGTTCTCAAACAATTTAAACGCTCACTCGTGACCATTCTGTTCATAGTGTGTCCGGTTTGACTAACTGCGCACTAACCGTTTGCTACAAATGCCGTTTCCTATGTCATCAGCTCCAATGTCAACAGAGGGCGCTGGTCATTTGGCATTGCCAGCCATTTTTCCTGGCCTGACGAATCTGAGATATCTGCTGCTTGGCTATTGCCCCAAGAGTTTATTTGTTATATGAAGAAAGTCGGGATTTCCTGCATAAAAGCAATACTCGAATGTAAGTAATTACTACATATATTTACATCGTGAAATGACATCGTAGGTGCATCAGTATAGATCACCCACAGTCGGCCCCTGAGAAGAGTGATCGTCTGTTTCGTTTAATTAAATGGAAATGTGCGCATGTCATGTTCACAATACCTCCCCCACATTGCTCTGCAGTATTTTTTTCAGCTTAGCCAGTGAAAACGTCGCGAATGTTTAGTCATTTAATTTGAAAGGTGTCTGAAATACAGATTTAGAAGAAAGACTGTTTGAAAGGTATATTTCGTTAATAACTTTAAAAACACTAGAAGAGAGACATAACGTGTATAGTTTATCTGAAGATGCAGTAACACTTTGATTTTAATGCAGCAGAATATACCCTCCCATAAACTTTTGTGGTGTCTTTATTGCGGTATTTCTTGTGGGGTGCAGGCTAAAACGGCACCTCAGCAAAACGGCACCGATTTCTCTGGCGAAAACGGCTACTATGTCGGGCGAAAACGGAACCTCTATGTTTAATAACGATAACAACGATTTTTGTAGTAATATATAGGGTTTATTTACATGGTATTTGATGTATTGAGTACATCTGAAGCCGTAATGTGAATTTCCGATAGGTTTGGTACTCTCATTTCTTCAGCATCTTCTGACTGGAAACTGACATGAAAGTTACCGATCACCTCTTCAATGACGGGAGCTACGCATTTCACACAGCGGAAAGGGAAGTCAGTACGGCAAATTTCTCTATAACGGGCCATAGAAAGTCCGGTTCCACTGGTCACAGTTATCACATAATACAGCATGTTGATTTTTTTTCTGTCATTCTTCTCGCATGCAACACATCGAAAGGCCATTGTGAATAATTGTGATCTGACAGCACCATGTTAGGCCTCTTGAATACAGTTTCAGCTTAAATTGAGTAAAGGTACTTAAAACTTCAAAGCGTATAGTGAATAAAAGTTGGTGAGTAAATTGGAGTAGGGGGCTTATTTCTTATTTGTTTTATTTCACAATTATTTGTGTTTGTAAGAGACGATGTGAGTTTAATTTCTATTATCTTCCGTCAAAGCATGTTATGTTTTCACCATAAGTTGAGTTGCGTATAAGCTAAGTTGGATTATAGTTGGAGCAGAGGCTAATTTCTAATGTAAACTTGTTTTAACATCTCACAATTATTGGCCTTTGCAAGTTACAATGTAAGTTTAATATCATTCATTTGACCAAGGTAAAAAAAAAAATAAGGTGCCGTTTTCGCTCAAGTCGAGGTGCCGTTTTCACTCGAGTCGAGGTGCCGTTTTCGCCAATCGGTGCCGTTTGGCTGAGGTGCCGTTTTCGCTATAACCCTTTCTTGTGATACATCAAAGACATAGCACCACTGACAAGTTTCCTTTGATGTTGAGTTGTCCGCAATTATGAGAGTCACAAAATGCAGAGAATTGTGGATATCAATGTTAGTTTACCTTAAAACTACTGAAAACAACACAATTAATGTCTTGTGCTAATGCACTTTTGCTAGAGTTCAAATATCAATACAATCAAAGATATAAGTAAGGAACAAGTCTCCTGTCGTTGTCTGCAAGCAGAAATTCCCCAGATTAAATATCACGTGATGACTCTGGAATGTTGGAAACCTTTTGGGGCCATCTCTTATATTTATTTTCGTTGCTTTCTGCACTAAGTCATTACCTCAGATACACGTTTGATGTCATCAATAAAGCATTCAGCGAGGAAGTTGACAATGAAACTTATGTCTTCTAGGCTGCTCAAATGTATGCTGTGCCTGAACAGACTCTGAGATATCGGGTTACTGCTAATGTAGACATTTCGACCACCAAGTCTGACCCCACCCCTCTTTTGAATCAGTTTGAGGAAAGTCAGCTGTCTGATCATATTTCTTTCATGGCCTCAATTGGTTACGGATACACACGATCAGAAGCTATCAGTCTTGCTGCAGACTGTCATAAGTTTGAACAATAAACAGTGATGTCAGGCCTCTTGCTTGTACTACAGAGCTTTGCAAACCACAGCAAATCTATGCAGACCACAGACATCAGGTAACTGTTTCACAGCTAAACAGCCAGATAAAAACCTTCAGAGAGAAGATCTATAACTAGAATCATAGATGTCAAGGCTGTTACTGAATCTGATGTTTCTGTGGGTGTGTCTGCCAATCTGGAGGCTACAAAACGGCCAAAGAAACTGAAAGGAACACCCATAAAAAAACCTTTGAAATCACAGCCGAGAAAAATGCATCAGGAAAACCATGAAACCATGAATGCATGAAAGAAAAGCCAGTAAAGTAACCCTAGCACCCAGATTAAATTCTTCTCAGCTTGGAACTTCTTGCCTTGACATCCTGCTTGTCTGTGACGACAATATCGGCAATGGAAATGAAATTCAAGATGAAGACAAATGTTGTCAATGTCATTGTTTTCAGCAACGAGAGCTTAGAAACTGTGTAGGGGCGGTCGGGTAGCCTAGTGGTGAAAGCGTTAGCTCGTCACGCCAAAGACCCGGGTTCAATTCCCGACATGGGTACAATGTGTGAAGCCCATTTCTGGTGTCCCCAGCCGTGATATTGCTGGAATATTGCTAAAAGCGGCGTAAAACTATACTCACTCACTAGAAACTGTGTATCCCTTATGTTCACAAAATGGGTAGAGTATATGTTTGAAGGATGGGTCCATCTAAAATACTGTTGAAATGATGAAATGATTTTATTGTCCATGTCATGGCTTACCATGCAAACCAGAAGAATGAACGACTAACCACAGACCCGAAACTTCCTGTTCCACAATATACGATTTGAAACATTAAACATTAATTGGATTAAACATGTTTTCAACTAAGACTTTGTTTTGTGTTTCATATAACAACACATGAGTAGTTTATTCATCAACAGTTTAAACTTCTTGTTACACTGTCTGACTTCCAAGAACCAAGTATCTTAAGATTAAATACTAAATCAACAATATGTCAACACGGCCGATTGAGTTGACTCAATTTATTGATCCCAATGTTACTTGTATGTTGAAGTGGGAATGACCTTTTAGAAGGCATTCATTGTCACTTTGCATTGATTGTTCATTCACCACTTATGAATGTATGTTTGAAATGTAAAATGAATTTTTGAAATTTACAATGAATGTTTGAAGTGTAAAATGAACAAATTTTGGAAATGTAATAGTGCTAACAATAAATTGCTGTGAAAGTGCATGTCAGAATTTTTAGTGCTGAATAAATGATTAGAAACATGTTTGTTTGTTTTTTTACGCTTCATACCATGTATACCAGTAAAAGTTTCAAACATCATGCTTTAAGAAATAAATGGGTACGAGTCATTCAAATTTTGGTACAAGTCATCCAAAGTTTGGGACAGGTCCTTCAAATCTTGGAATGGGACAGACAAAAAAGGTACTATTACTATGGCAATGATGTAATCATGGTAATAAAGGCTTGTTTTCATAGGAATTATCAAACAGTAGCTATCATTGTTAATAATTTATAGAGTACTACCTCTATTACATGAGTAATTCCTTCTGCATCTTTGTTGCTGATGTTGGAAAGAACTGAGGTTTTCCTGCCTCACACATGCATAAGAGGCTTGGCAAGGGAAATACTATTAGTATCTCAACTAGTTATGGATAGTTGACAGTGACGATGATGTCAGTTGAAAAACTGAAGATTAATATTGTGTGGTGACATCCAAAATACAGGATATTGGCAATGACATATTTCAGAGCTATGATTTTCATCATTTGGATTCATTTTCTTTGTGACATGATTTTGATAATGGGTTTTCAATTTTATGTTATATTTGGCAAAATGGCCCAAACATTTTTTTAAATTGCTCTGGATATTCAGGCATGAGATAATCAATGTCGTCGTTCAAGTTTAATTTCATTCAGTGTGTTTCAAGATAGACTTGAGCACAGAAGCACATCATGTCAGATCAGTTGATTTGCATTGTGCATGGTGCCAACCCTAGCTGTTATTAGTGGTGTTCTTGTGGAGACATCTTTAGGAAATGCATTAACAAGATAAAGTTAAGTGACAGCTCTTTTGTTTTCAGTGAACACCATAACGTCCACAAATTGATAATGGAAACACGAGAACAAAATCCTGGCTCCGTTACTGAAACAAATTTAATCATGGACTGTGAGAGAGCAAGAAATCTCAAGAAAGAACCTGTTACTGACTCAGGTGGTAACACTGACTCTCAAAGAGCATTGCTGGAAACAGATAATCTCAAGAAACGCAAAGATTGTGAGGTTCCGGGAATTAACCCTTATCAGTGCACTGAATGTGGGAAAGAATTTACACAATCCAGTAACCTGCAGTCACACATGAGGATTCACACTGGAATCAAGCCTTATCAGTGTACCGTATGTGGGAAAGAATTTACACAATCGGGTCACCTGAGGACACACATGAAGAGTCATAGTGGAATCAAGCCTTATGAGTGCATTGTGTGTGAGAAAAGATATAAACTACCAGATCATCTGCAGAAACACATGCGTGTTCACAGTGGAATCAGGCCTTATCAGTGTGGTGAGTGTAAGAAAACGTTTACACACTCAAGTGTCCTGCGCGATCATTTGAGGATTCACAGTGGTATTAAGCCTTATCGGTGTGCTGAATGTGGGAAAGAATTTACACAGTCCTCTACCCTGCAGAAACACATGAGGATTCACAGTGGAATCAAGCCTTATCGGTGTGATGAATGTGGGAAAGAATTTACACAATCATCTACCCTGCAGAGGCACGTCAGTAGTCACATTGCTGTCACCAGAGCACTGCTGGAAACAGATCGTGCAAAGCCGTCTCATGAGTGTGGTGAGTGCGGGAAGACATTTAATCGATCAGGAGACTTGAAAAGACACATGCTTTGTCACAGTGGCATTAAACCTTATCAGTGCGATGAGTGTGGGAAAACATTTACACGATCAGGTAGCCTGAACATTCATTTGAGGATTCACAGTGAAGCGAAGCCTTATCAGTGTACTAAATGTGGGAAAGAATTTACCCAATTAGGTAGCCTGAAGATACACATGAGCAGTCACAGTGGAATCAAGCCTCATCAGTGTGGTGAGTGTAAGAAAACATTTTCACACTCAAGTCACCTGCACACTCATTTGAAGATTCACAGTGGAGTGAAGCCTTATCAGTGTGATGAGTGTGGGAAAACGTTTACACGATCAGGTAGCCTGAACATTCATTTGAGGATTCACAGTGGAGTGAAGCCTTATCAGTGTACTAAATGTAAGAAAGAATTTTCACAATCAGGTCAGCTGAAGATACACATGAGCAGCCACAGTGGAATCAAGCCTTATCAATGTGGTGAGTGTGAGAAAAGATATAAACTTCCAGGTGATCTGCGGACACACATGAGGGTTCACAGTGGAATCGAGCCTTATCAATGTGGTGAGTGTAAGAAAACGTTTACACACTCAAGTGGCCTGCATGCTCATTTGAAGATTCACACTGGAATCAAGCCTTATCGGTGTGCTGAATGTGGGAAAGAATTTTCACAATCATCTAACATGGAGAGACACATGAGGAGTCACAGTGGAATGAAGCCTTATCAGTGCACTGAATGTGGGAAAGAATTTACAGAATCGAGTAACCTGCAGTCACACATGAGGATTCACACTGGAATCAAGCCTTATCAGTGTACCGTATGTGGGAAAGAATTTACACAATCAGGTCACCTGAGGACACACATGAAGAGTCACAGTGGAATCAAGCCTTACGAGTGCATTGTGTGTGAGAAAAGATATAAACTACCAGATCATCTGCAGAAACACATGCGTGTTCACAGTAGAATCAGGCCTTATCAGTGTGGTGAGTGTAAGAAAACATTTACACACTCAAGTGGCCTGCACGATCATTTGAGGATTCACACAGGCATCAAGCCTTATCGGTGTGCTGAATGTGGGAAAGACTTTACACAATCATCTGCCCTTCAGAGACACATGAGGATTCACAGTGGAATCAAGCCATTTCGGTGTGATGAATGTGGGAAAGAATTTACACAGTCAGGTAGCCTGAAGTACCACATGAGGAGCCACAGAGGTGTCACCAGGGCATTGCTGGAAACAAAGAACCACTCTGTCACTGACACAGATGGAAACACTGGCAGTGACAGAGCATTGCTGGAAACAGGTGATTTCAAGCAAGAACCTGTTACTGACACAGATGGAAGCATTGACTGTGAAAGAGCATTGCTGGAAACTGGTGATCGCAAGAACCACTTTGTCACTGACACAGATGGAAACACTGGCTGTGAGAGAGCATTGCTGGAAACAGGGGATCTCAAGCAAGAACCTGTTACTGACACAGATGGAAACACTGGCTGTGAGAGAGCATTGCTGGAAACTGGGGATCTCAAGCAAGAACCTGTTACTGACACAGATGGAAACACTGACCTTGTGAGACCATTGCTGGAAACAGATGATTTCAAGCAACAACCTGTATCTGACACAGGTGCAAACATGGTTTTCGTTGTGGTCCGTACGGGGAAAAACTTAGACATTCGTGTAACCTGCAAAGACAAATGAAGAACCAATATAGAATCTAGCCTCAAGTACTATGTGCCGTAAATATGTACATCAAATTGCTGCAGGTGAACAAACTTGAGATAACAAACTTGGTCATGACGATATTAAATTTACTATGAGACATCACCATATATGATAGGTTTTGTTTTATATGCAGAGATGAAGATTAAGATTACTGTGTATTTTCTTGTGAACTTTGCCAGATGAAGGAAGATCTCTAAGATCTAAATGTGATTCAGTGGAGAAATACCCTGCACAATAACTTTTATAACGATGAAGAAAACTATCAGTTCATATTTAATTGTCAAACTGTAACAAATGTGACTTATGGCATTTATGATTTTTGTATCCTTTCTCTGTCAACTAAGCTTTGTTTAAAGGTGTTGATAATTGTAATATCTGATCATGGTTGCATTAAATTGGTGTGACTTGGTGCAATCTGCCAGTCTGTTCTCACACGATTTCGCTGAAATTAATGTGAAGAATATTGAATAAAATTAATGAAATAGATTTCAGACAATCCAGTGATTGATGTCATGAGCATCGATCCACCCAATTGGGATACGATGACATGCATCAACCAAGTCAGCGAGCCCGACCACCCGATCCTGTTAGTTCTTACGACAGGCATAGTCACCATTTACGGCAAGCATTGGTTGCTGAAGACCTATTCTAACCCAGATCTTCACAGGTCCTTCCTGCATGTAAACATATACACAATTTATTATTTTTGTGATTTTTATTTTCCAAGGAGATGGGTAATTACGAATCTAAAACCGTACATGAATCATGAAGACACTTTTTAATAACTTGTTACTCTATTGTTTTTCAAAGTCTTTGGTTGTCTGCTCACCAGGAACAGCGGTGAAGGTACATCCAGCTAAGTTAGTTAGTTCAATATAAGGGGCGGTGGGGTAAGACCAGAGTTTGATTGCCCACATGAGTGCAATGTGTGAAGCCCATTTCTAGTTTTCCCCAGCCATGATATTGCTGGAATATTGCTAAATGCAGTGTAAACCAAACTCACACACTATTTCAATAAATAGTCTCCAAAATAAATATAGAATCATAAAACATTTATGCTGTGATGCTGTGAAAATTGATCATTCGGCAGGAAAAAGATGGCTTTTGAAAAATGACTGCAAAAAAAATAGAATGTTTTCAGACATGTTCAGAACCACAACACACGAGAGGCTTTGTGTGTGGAACATGCAGTTCATCCATGTAGGTAGGGGGGTGTCATTGTTGATATTTGACTATTGCACTCTGAGCAATTAGAATTGTTCATTTTCCTTCTCCACAATAACAGGTAAGATCTCTACTCTTGCTTTAATGCAGTGTTTGTTATCAGATTTGGAGTGCATCATCTGCAATGTGATGAACACCTTGAGCGGTTGTCACATGTTAAGATTCATTTCCTGCTACCTACAAGACACTATAACCCATGATGCTGTTATCACCCAATCATTCAAATCCCTGTGGACCGCCTCCTCGGTCTAGTGGTAGAGCGTCCGCCCGGAGAGCGGAATGTCCGGGGTTCGATTCCCGGCTGTGTCATACCAAAAGATATGTAAAGATGATACTTGTTGTTACCCTGGCTATAGGGGCTAAAACTAAGGACTGGTGGGCTCGGAGTCAGTATACTGTGTCTGAGTGGGGTATTCATGTTACACTGCGGCATGGTATCTCAGTGAGCTAGCACTATAAATCGGCATCAGTCCAGACTAGAACGAACAGCCACACAAACACACACATGTACATGCACGTCGCTACATGAGTGCAATAATCTTGGATGCGACGTTAAACCCAATTTCACCACATTCAAATCCCTGTACCGTAAACTCCAGCTTGATCATCTGAAAGACTATATTGACAATATACTACCCCATATGAAGATTATGCAAGCACATCATGGAGGTGATGAGGAGTCTTGAGGCACCAGCCATTCCACAAGATGGGACTTTTGAGCAGCGCTCATACTTGATTGACACTAGGAGAAGACTTGTTTCAAATGCTTCTTTTTAAAATTAAAATTGTCCACATTTGACCCCAGGGTTGGCAATGTATATGTTGAAGTCTTGTGTGAACAAATACCTTGGCTTGAATGGAAGTGTCTTGGTTCTTATTTAATCTTCTATATACCATGTCAGTAAGGTCTGGTTTGACCTCCCTGGATATAATTATAATGCCATATCTTCTACAGGACAAAAGGTGGCAATTTCAGAAAGGAGGACTGTACAAGCCCACGGTCAATTAATCAGAAACAAGGCTTCTAGAATTCTAGTCCAAACAACTAATCAAAACTCTGTTTACTTGTGCCAGGCCACTGGAGTTCAAGTCTCTGACCACACAATCATAAATTGTCTACATGCTTGGGGACCAGATGTTGTATGACTGTTAACAAATTGAATCATTTTTGCCCGAAGCCAATGATGTGGGCATGACCAATTATTGATCAAATCATTTCAAACATTCATTATTTTACCACACAACCCGTTGTCTTTCTTGGTTGTTTGCACCCCTGACAATACACTGTTTCATTTGAAGTTCATTGCATTGTATTTGGACAATGATAAGTTGTCAAGAATGTAGTACTATTTAATGTGAGCAGTGGTCAGGAAGTTATTATTTTTAGATGCCGGAATTATCTGTAAACTTCCGGAATAGCATGGATGTCAAGTATTATGGAAACATGTGGAAAGTGCTGGAAGTGGACTATAAAAGTGGAGCGGGCACATGTCTGTCTCGTCTCACATTTCATCTGTGATTACATCAAGACCAGCTCTTGTCATTATCTCTTTTTACCCTGGTGTTCAGCTTAGGCCTGTCTTGGATGCTTGACCACTGTTGCAGATATGTGAATTTTCTTATCACTGAAAGTTTGGCTATCATCACTGCATCATAGTGAGTAAGTTAAACTTTAACATCGCATCAGCATAATTCAGCAATACATCATATCTTGTATTTGATACTGCAATTGAATATTGTACCACCACTCTGTTGCATATTGCCATTGTAATTGCTGTGAAGTAATTTGTATTGATTTGTAAACCTAGTTAAGTTTGTAATACAATTGTTGATTGTATACCACTTGTTGGTTGTTTGTTGGTTTCACACTAAATTCTTTTACAGATTTCTGGGTTAACATATTGTTTCAGTTTGGGAAACCAAATGTAACAAAATGCATTAACATGATAGAGGAAAGTAAAAACTCTTTTATGTTTTCAGTGAAACCATAACAACCACAAGTTGATTATGGAAATACAAAGCCAACCACAGAATCCTGACTGCTACTCAAACAAATGTAATCATGGACTGTGAGAGAGCACTGCTGGAAACAGGGGATCTCAAGAAACACAAAGATTGTGAGTTTCCAGCAAAGAAGTCTCATAAGTGCAGTGAGTGTGGGACAACGTTTCCCCGCTTGGATGCCCTGAACACTCATTTAAAGATTCACAGTGGAATGAAGCCTTATCAGTGTACTGAATGTGGGAAAGAATTTTCACAATCAGGTCAGCTGAAGATACACATGAGCAGCCACAGTGGAATCAAGCCCTACGAGTGCATAGTGTGTGAGAAAAGATATAAACTTCCAGGTGATCTGCAGACACACATGAGGGTTCACAGTGGCATAAAGCCTTATCAGTGTGGTGAGTGTAAGAAAACGTTTACACACTCAAGTCACCTGCATGCTCATTTGAGGATTCACACTGGAATCAAGCCTTATCGATGTGATGAATGTGGAAAAGAATTTACACATTCATCCAACATGAAGAAACACATGCAGATTCATAGTGAAAACAAGCCATATCAGTGTACTGAATGTGGGAAAGAATTTAAACAACCATCTTCCCTGCAGAGACACATGAGGAATCGCATCTGTGTCACCAGAGCACTGCTGGATAAAGTTCGTGCAAAGCCTTCTCATATGTGTGGTGAGTGCGGGAAGATATTTAATCATTCAAGCAACTTGAAAAGACACATGCTTTGTCACAGTGGCATTAAGCCTTATCAGTGCGATGAGTGTGGGAGAGCATTTACACAATCAGGTAGCCTGAAGACTCATTTGAGGATTCACAGTGAAGTGAAGCCTTATCAGTGTACTAAATGTGGGAAAGCATATACAAGTTCATATCAGCTGAAGACACACATGAGCAGTCACAGTGGAACTAAGCCATATCAGTGTGGTGAGTGTAAGAAAACATTTACATACTCAAGTTGCCTGAAGTCTCATTTGAGGATTCACACTGGAATCAAGCCTTATCAGTGTGCTGAATGTGGAAAGGAATATACAAATTCATGTCAGCTGAAGACACACATGACTAGTCACAGTGGAATCAAGTCTTATCAATGTGGTGAGTGTGAGAAAACATTTACACACTCAAATGCCTTGCACGTTCATTTGAGGATTCACATTGGTATCAAGCCTTATCAGTGTGCTGAATGTGGAAAAGAATTTTCACAATCATCTAATATGGAGAGACACATGAGAATACATAGTGGAATCAAGCCTTATCAGTGTACTGAATGTGGGAAAGAATTTACACAGTCAAGTAGCCTAAAGTACCACATGAGGAGTCACAGAGGTGTCACCAGGGCATTGCTGGAAACCAAGAACCACTCTGTTACTGACACAGATGGAAACACTGGCAGTGACAGAGCATTGCTGGAAACGGGTGATTTCAAGCAAAAACCTGTTACTGACACAGATGGAAACACTGGTGCTGAGAGACCATTGCTGGAAACTGATGATCTCAAGAACCACTCTGTCACTGACACAGATGGAAACAGTGAGAGACCATTGCTGGAAACCGGGGATCTCAAGCAAGAATCTGTCACTGACACAGATGGAAACACTGGCAGTGACAGAGCATTGCTGGAAACGGGTGATTTCAAGCAAGAACCTGTTACTGACACAGATGGAAACACTGGTGCTGAGAGACCATTGCTGGAAACTGATGATCTCAAGTACCACTCTGTCACTGACACAGATGGAAACA